CGGCCAGCGCCAGGGGCCACCCCCAGAGACCTCTGCTGCCTACTACAAGTGGATGGGGAGGCCCGGGCTCGAACAGGGCCGCTGCGAGGGGGGCCGGACTTCCTGCGGCTGGACCACACTTTCCACCTGGAGCTGGAGGCCGCCAGGCTCCTGCGCGCCCTGGTGCTTGCATGGGACCCTGGCGTGAGAAGGCACCGGCCCTGTGCCCAGGGCACCGTGCTGCTGCCCACGGTCTTCCGAGGTAGGACATGTGGCTGCAGGGTAGGAGGGGCAGGGACCCCCAAACCCCACCGCCACCCCCGCAGAGTGCCTAGGGGGCTGGACTCTGGGCAGAAGGTGTGACCTGGAGTAGGGAGGCCGGGGTACATGAAGCTTCAGAGTACCCGGCTCAGGCCCTTGTGTCCTCAGGGTGCCAGGCCCAACAGCTGGCCGTGCGCCTGGAGCCCCAGGGGCTGCTCTATGCCAAGCTGACCCTGTCGGAGCAGCAGGAAGCCCCTGCCACAGCTGAGCCCCGCGTCTTCGGGCTGCCACTGCCACTGCTGGTGGAGCGGGAGCGGCCCCCCGGCCAGGTGCCCCTCATCATCCAGAAGTGCGTTGGGCAGATCGAGCGCCGAGGGCTGCGGGTAAGCACCCACCCCACTCCACCCCTCTGGCCCCCAGACCTCAGACCCACTCTTCAGGACACCCTATGTACAGATGCCAGACCCCTACCCCAGGCCTGAGCCACTCCTAGCTCCAATCACAGCCTAGACAAGGGCAGAAGGCCCCCCCTTGACTGTAGCACCCTGGGCAGAACCCATGGGTCATCCATCGATTTAATAACAGGATCCAAGCCCTCCTGGGGCTCAGAGTCTGATGGGGGAAAAGATACGACTCTAGTCTTTCACAAATGTAAAACTAACTGGGACTAGAGTGGGGCGGGGGTGTACCTAGGGTCTGGGAGAGCTTAAAACAAAACCTGGGGTAGTCATGGAAAGCTTCCTGGAAGAAGCATCAGAGTTTCCTAAGTCAGAGGAGGTGGGAGCCAAGACAAGTAGTCCAAGCAGAGGGTTTACAAGGCCAGGTTGTCAAGGTAGTTCCAACCTCCCAGCCCCCAGTGCCCATTACTGCCGTGGCCCAGAATTCCAGTGCTCACCCCACTGGGCCGATTAGTCTGTGGCCCCAGCAGGAAGATATTCACTCTCTCTTCCCGCCTCCAGGTAGTGGGACTGTACCGTCTATGTGGTTCAGCAGCAGTGAAGAAAGAGCTTCGGGATGCCTTTGAGCGGGACAGTGCAGCGGTCTGCCTATCTGAGGACCTGTACCCCGATATCAATGTCATCACTGGTCAGCATGGCCCCCACTCCTCTGCCTGCTCACCCCCATTCAAGGCCTCACTTCAAGGCCTTGGGGCTCCTCTGGGACCTCACTCCTCCTATCTGACCTTGCTTTCACCCACCTCCTCTTCCCCCTTGTCTGTGCCCCTCCTTGGCCTTAGAAGCCAGTGGTGCCCTGACCAGAGGGGGCCCTGTGTTCACAGGCATCCTCAAGGATTATCTTCGAGAGTTGCCCACTCCGCTCATCACCCAGCCCCTGTATCAGGTGGTACTGGAGGCCATGGCTCGGGACCCCCCAAACAGAGCTCCCCCCACCACTGAGGGCACCCGAGGGCTTCTCAGCTGCCTGCCGGATGTGGAAAGAGTGAGTTGGGCCTGGTGGGAGTGATGGGACTTGAGAGTGGGCTAATTCCAATAGAATGTTCCACCCATGGCTGGGCCTGCGATGGCCTGCATGAGCTGGCAGCAGCATCATATCCCCAAGAAATAGGTGCTATTAGCATCCCACGTCAAAGATTTGGAAACTGAGGCCCAAAGCAGTTGAGTGAGTTACCCAAGGTCACACAGCCAGGATGTGTCAAAAATGCATGCTGAATGCTGGTCTTTCAACCTACAAGGGAGGTTCCTGGCTGAGGGAACCTAGACAAGTTCCATCCCTCTCTGTGCTTCAATACCTTCATCTGTAAAATGGGATTCATGGCAGCTTTGCCTTTCCAATGCTTAGTTGCCTTTGGCTTCAGTCTTCCCTCCAACAAAATAGGCTCATAATACTAATACCTAATGATTAATAGTCTTAACCCGACCACATCCCAGCTATGAGACTGTGAACCTGCTTCCTTACTCTAGCCACCTTAGTCTCTTGCAGGTAGGTGCCCCAGGGGCCTGACTTTGTCTGACTTACATCCTCTCAACCCTCTCCCAGGCCACCTTGACGCTTCTCCTGGACCACCTGCGCCTTGTCTCCTCCTTCCATGCCTACAATCGCATGACCCCACAGAACTTGGCCGTGTGCTTCGGGCCTGTGCTGCTGCCGGCACGCCAGGCACCCACAAGGCCTCGTGCCCGCAGCTCCGGCCCAGGCCTCGCCAGTGCAGTGGACTTCAAGCGCCACATCGAGGTGCTGCACTACCTGCTGCAGTCTTGGCCAGGTGAGCTCATGCCCAGGACCTGCACCACCAGTCTGAGCCAGGCTGCTGCAGTGATGCCACCTTAGGGGACCAATCAGTGTCTTGGGCTTGAAGCAGGCTACGTCCCCTCATGGAGTAAACTGGTACCTGGTTGCCTCAGCAACCAGTTCAGATCCAACCAATCTATCTGTTTTGTCTTTTTTATTATTATTATTATTATTTTGTAAAGACAGGGTTTCTCTATACTGCCCAAGCTGGTCTCAAACTCATGATCTCAGGCCATCCTCCTGCCTCAGCTTCCCAAAGTACTGGGATTATAAACTGAATCACTTTGCCCCATAGAGCAGATTCATCTTTACTTTTTTTTTTTTGAGATCTCTCTCTGTCACCCAGGCTGCAGTGCAGTGGTGTGATCTCGGCTCACTGCAAGCTCTGCCTCCAGGGCTCATGCCATTCATTCTCCTGCCTCAGCCCCCTGAGTAGCTGGGACTACGGGCACCCGCCACCACGCCCAGCTAATTTTTTGTATTTTTTTTTTAGTAAAGACAGGGTTTCACCGTGTTAGCCAGGATGGTCTTGATCTCCTGACCTCGTGATCCACCCACCTCGGCCTCCAAGAGCGCTGGGATTACAGGCGTGAGCCACCGCGCCCGGCCAGTCCTGGCTAATTTTTATATTTTAAGTAGAGAGGGGGTTTCACTGTGTTAGCCAGGCTGGTCTTGAACTCCTGACCTCAAGTTATCCACCCACTTCAGTTCTCCCAAAGTGCTGGAATTACAGGCACGCACTACCAGTCCTAGCTAATTTTTGTATTTTTAGTAGAGACGGGGTTTCACGGTGTTGGCCAGGCTGGTCTTGAACTCCTGACCTCAAGTGATCCGCCTGCCTCAGGCCTCCCAAAGTGCTGGGATTACAGGCATGATCCAGGGCACCTGCTGCTATCCTTCTTTGATGCAGTCAGAGGCCCTGCCTCTTGACATGCCAATCAGAGGTCTAGTCGCCTAAGCAACCAGTTCTAGCTCCGCCGGTGAAACCCTGAAAGGGTCGAAGGCCTCTTCCCACAGGCCAATCAGGAGCCTAGTTCCCTAAGCAGCCAATCAGAGGTCGGCTGTCTCCTCTGTGTATGACCCGCCCTGTCTCCCTTCAGATCCCCGCCTGCCCGGAGAAGCTCCAGATGTCGCGCCGTACTTACGACCCAAACGACAACCACCTCTGCACTTACCGCTGGCAGACCCCGAAGTGGTGACTCGGCCCCGCGGCCGAGGAGGCCCTGAGAGCCCCCCGAGCAACCGCTACGCCGGCGACTGGAGCGTTTGCGGGCGGGACTTCCTGTCTTGTGGGCGGGACTTCCTGTCCGGGCCAGACTACGACCACGTGACGGGCAGTGACAGCGAGGACGAGGACGAGGACGTCGGTGAGCCGAGGGTCACCGCTGACTTCGAAGATGACTTCGATGCACCCTTCAACCCGCACCTGAATCTCAAAGACTTCGACGCCCTCATCCTGGATCTGGAGAGAGAGCTCTCCAAGCAAATCAACGTGTGCCTCTGAGCCAGAGGACAGGGCGGGACCCCGGTTACAAAACTGGGCGCCCGGTGGCGAAGGCGGTGCCCTGGTGACCAAGGAGAGTCAGACCTGTTGCTCAGGCCGAGCTCCTGGTTGTTAGGGAGTTACCATGGGACCAGTCGCGTGTATGGCTGAGACTCATTCCCCGTTTCCAGGGCCCAGTATTTGGACACTAGTTGCAAAGTCTGGGTACTGGGGATTTTAGGGACCAGAGGTTGTGACCATCTTTCCTGAGCACCAAGGGTTTCCCCTTTTGTTGCCAAAAAGGCAGTTCTCGCGCTTGCTAGGCTGGCCTCTCTTGCCTTCCCTTGGCCGGGTCAACACCAGTTACGGTGTGCATCACCCTGGAGTGGTGAGTCACCTCTAGTCGGCCCTCTTGCTGCTGCCAACCAAATCAGTATTAGCTTTGAGCACTGCACTCTTGTTTCTCCCTCCCTTGGACGACACAAGGACTAGCATGAGGCACTGTTTGTGGGAGGCAGCCCCTATCCTGGGTTCCAGCATGGACACAGGGGCAGCCTGGGGCTTATGGAGAAACAGCTGGTTTCCCCCACCCTTTTCCCGGGAAGACCCCACGATTGGCCTCTAGTCAGCAAATGGAGATAACAGAGTCTGGCCTTTCCAATCCCCATCCCCTCATCCCCACCCCTGAAAAAAAATTGAGCACTTAAACCCCTCTCTTTTGGAGGGGCCCCCCAAAGCGTGACGCTGGGGGCAGTCTGGTACGGAACATATTTATTGCCTCCATGCATGTGTGTGTGTGTCTGTGAGGACTGGTGTGCGTGGACACGTCTGGAGCAGGCGTGTGGGGCTCTTTCAGGGCCCACAGAGGAGGGTGCAGTTGGCAGTGCCCAGCTACCCTGAAATCCCCAGTAATGGTGCCTCAGTGGGCCCCAGAGTTCCAGTGGGAGAGTACGGTTCCCTCCTGTCTCCCTCTTCTTTTCCGCACCTTCATCTTTGTGGATAATAAATCAATATGCACAGGTTCTGAGACTGAGTATGTGGGCCCACGTGGGCCAGAGGTGGTTTATTCAGTCTCCGTAAGAGAGGGGACAAAGGGCACAGTTGGGTCCGTGGAGAGGAGGGTCGAAGAGCTCACAAGGGAGCCTCTCTGAGCTTTGACCCCTCCATCCCCTCCTCAGGGAGGTTGTGGAGTCATCGGGCCTCATGGGATAGGCCCAGGACAAGCAATGATGAGACTCCAAACCAGCTGGACACAGTCCAGCCGCAGGAAGGCAGCCAAGCATCCTGACCCACAAGGCCCTATACAGCAATGGAGCCATCGCGGAAGTCCGTCCTCCCAATGAGGATGTTCACCACTACCGGGTGGCCGTCTCGGCACTGCTGCTGGGCGTCGTGCAGCACCTTGACCACCTGATCCTCGTTCTCCCGTGAGAGCAGCAAGCCCCGGGCCCCCAGACCCATGGCTGCCTTGTGATATTCTGAAAGAGGAGATTAAGTCAGATGGTGGCAAGGATTCAGCCCACCGCACGTGCAGCCAGCCGGGACTGAAACAGCCTCCCGTCCTCCCAACCTTGCTGAGGCCCCCTCACCAGTGTAGGCCAGGCCACAGGCCACGTTGCTGCCCAGAGACGGCACCTGCTCCCGAGAAATCTGCGTCCAGCCAGCATCATTCCCTACCAAGGCCATTACTGGGATCTACAGAAAGAAGATGAAGGCAGGCTGCAGCCTTCAGCCCCATGACTTGGCCAGCCAGAGGACAGAGACAGGGACAGGGCCTCTGCCAGACAGGAGGCTCCCTCCCCACCTCAGCCCACCCCTGGTGACATCTCCCAGAACCCCAGGCCCTAAGCTTCCCTCAGGCCAGCCCAGTCACCTTGTGTCTGACGAACGTATCAAATTCGATGAGGCTATAGCCAAAAGCTCCATCCCCAAACAGGCACCAGACCTGGTGGGGAGGGGACCCAGGATGGTTAGGGTGGATCAGGGCCCAGAGAGCAGCAAGTCTCCCAACTCCAGTGCTCAACTCCAGTGCCTCACCTCGGCATCCGGCCGGCACAGCTTGGCCCCAAGTGCAAATCCTGCACCAACTCCCAGAGTCCCAAAGGCCCCTAAGAGGACCAAGAGCAGGTGGGTGTGAAGGCGTCCAGATGAATGGTGCCCACTGCCCCTGGCGGGAGCCCTTCCTTACCAGGATCCAGCCAGCGCAGGGGGCCACGGGGCTGTACCAGATGGGCAGCAGTGCCCACAAAGTCCCCGCCATCCACCACCAGAATTGAGTCGTCAGGTAGCGTTTCCTCCACCAGCTGCAGCACCCGCACTGGGTTCAGGTGCTGGGCCACAGGCATCGCTGCCTTCTCCCTGCAACAGGACAGCGAAGGTCACCAGCGCTGGCAGCAGTGTCTGCCGGGAACCCCCTTGCCCACATCCACTCCACCCAGGCCCCACCGAAAGGTCTGCTCCTTCTGCCGGTCAGCTTCCCACAGCTCCTCCACCCAGTCTGGGGCCCATGTCTGGCCCTGAAGGCCCTCCACCAGCTTCAGCACGAAGGAACCCACATCGCCTGGGGAAGGAAGAGGACACAGCTGTGCGGAGCTGGCTTCCTCCTGTTCTTCCAGCACCAGAGGCCTCAAAACAGCAGGAAGCCAGCAGCAGCATCCGAGCAGGCAGACGGGAAGCAAGCCAGGGATGCTCCTAGGAAAAAAACAGGTGAAACACCCCAGAACCAGGGGAGGGCAGCCCAGGTGAAAAGGGAGGTCAAGACCCAAGAAACAAGAGTTAAGGAGCACAAGGCAGGTGACAAACCCAAGCTGGCCTCGTCCCCTCCCTCTACCTCCTTCTGCCTGGGAAACAATGGAAAGAGCTACATCCACCAAGCACATCTTTCAAATCCAGGCACGTGGAAGCGCACGGCAAACGTTACTGAAGTGAACTAACAAACAGCCTGTGATGTATTTTTCACCACCCCATTTTTCAAATGATCAAATGGAGGCTCCGAGAAGGGGAGGCTCTCCCGCTGTTCATCTCCAGTTCAGGCCTCCTCGTTTCTGTCCTGGCCATTTTTAGCAGCCCCCCGGCCTCCACCCAGCCCCCTTCCGGCCTGCCATCCACGGCTGCTGAGGGGACCTTCCCAACATGGATGCAACGGTGCCACTTCTCTGCTTAACACAAGAGCGTCCTGTCGCCTAGGCTGCAGAGGAGTCAACATCCTCAGAACAATGAACAAGTTCAAGTCCAAGGGGACTCAAATAAGGGGAGGGCATAGATACAGCAGGAAGACAGAGAGGCTAAGGGGCCAAAGAGTATGCAGTGGGCACACTGAGGGCAGTGGGCAGTGTGGGAGGGAACGTAATCACATGCATGTTTTCAAGCTTCCCTCTGTGTCCACCCCGCCATCTGTTCCTACAGAAGCATCGATTAGGCCGGGCGCAGTAGCTCCGGTCTGTAATCTCAGCACTTTGAGAGGCCGAGGCAGGAGGATCACTTGAGGCCAGGAGTTCAACACCAGCCTGGGCAACATAGTGAGATGCTGATTCCACAAAAAAAAAAAAAAAAAAATTAAAAATTAGCCTGGCATGGTGGTGCACGCTTGTAGTCCCAGCTACTCGGGAGGCTGAGGTGGGAGGATTGCTTTGAGCCTGTTGAGTTTGAGGCTGCAGTGAGCTGTGATCGCACTACTGCATTCTAGCCTGGGTGACAGAGCAAGACCTCCTCTCTAAAAAATAAAAATTAAAAAAAATTAAAAAAAGAAGCATTCATCAGTTTGAGGGCCAACTATTTGTCTCTGGTTGACAGGCTGCGCCCTAGGGCAAGGTCTGGGCCTCGATCACCGTACCAGGTTCAAGCCAGCTGCAGCAGAAACCAGGAGGAGAGGGACCGGAAGGAGCGCATATGTGTACGGGGGGATTAGGGGGCTCACCCTGCACAGCCTCCTGGGGCTTCCAGAAGACGTCTGAGTTGAGCAACATATCTTCCCGGTTACGATTGACAATGATGATCTTGCTGCTGTGGCTGAGGACACGGCCATACGATAGGCGAAAGTCGCACACGGTTCCTGGGGTGGACGACAGGAATGCAGTGGGTAGAGGCCCCATGTCCTCTACCTTACTTGATCCATTGTGGTGGACTGGATGCAAAAGACTCCCTGTTCCTCACCGAGTCTCCTTGCACCTGTGCCACCTGCAGTGACCTTGAAGCTCCCCACACCCCCTGAATCTGGGCTGGCCTCATGACATGCTTTGGCCAACAGGATAGGGCAGAGGCGGGTTGTATTTTCCCAGAATGGCCACAATATCTCCCACCCTACATCCACTTGTACAAGGTCACCTTGACATGCCTCCCATGGAGAGAGGTGCAGCCTGGGTCCCCTTTCCTTGAATCAGGTGGCAGAAGTGACATAGCATGACACCCGAGGCTGGGTCAGAAGAGATGCAGTTTCTTGTTCACTCTTAGAGGCCTGGGTGGGGCCAAGGAGTGTGCTCTGTCTGCGAAGTCTGATTACCCCGAGGCCATCATGCTGGGAGGAAACCCGAACCACAAGGAAAGGCCTGTGTAGTTGCCCTAGTCCACAGCCCCAGCAACAGTTGGCATCAATTGCAAGACCTCTGAGTGAAGACACCTCCAGATGACTCAGGACCCCCTCCCCCATTCCTGCAGACTCTACTTCAAGAAGCCACACAGCCTCCACTCTCTCTCTCTCGAACAACCACACTCTCCCAGCCCCATAGTTTTCTCATCCTTCACCAAGTCGGCTGGCCCAGGCTAGCCTACTGGAGGATGAGAAACAAGGGGGCCATGGAGACAGGGATGAAGAACCCTATGACCCCAGCTGAAGCCATCCCAGACCAGCTGCAGGGCCAGCCAATCCCCATACAGGTGAGTGAGCCCAGCCTGGATCAGCACAGCTGCCTTCCTGCCTAACCCAAGAGCAGACTCACAAATGAGCCCAGTCAAAACCACAGCTACCACCTACCTTATAGGTGGGTCTTGAGAAATCAGAAATGCATTTTTAGCCATTGAGTTTGGGGATGGTTGTTACAGGGCAGTAGCTAACTAATACACCTATTATGTGTCTGGTAGGGTTCAAAGCGCTCTATGTGAAAATGTGTATCAAGTACAGTAGGTGCCCACTAGATGTTCATCCTCCTTTGTGTGAAGCTGGGTAACAGGGTGAGGGGGTTCCTGGGGGAAGGAGGGAAAGGAAGAGGCTCAGGCCCACCTGCTAGGACAATGACATCTGCCTTCTTCAGGGCCGCACTGCGGTTCTCCCGGATGTGGAGGGGGTGGTTGCGGCCTAACAGCCCCCGTGCCATCCCCCCAAGGAAGCAGGGAACACCCAGGGTCTCCACGGCAGCCCTAGGAGTCCAGACAGAGCAGAGGTCAGTGTGGCCGGGGCCTCCCGCCTCCCCAAGAGCACCCAAGGACCGGGAACTGGGAACGTGAAAACAAGGGCAGGGCTGGGGCTTCTCACCGAAGCTTGTCGGCAGACTTCGGGGTGAGCAGGGCCTGACTCCCTAGCACCATTAGGGGCCTCTTGGCCCGGCTCAGGATCTCCACACAGCGCTGAACCTGGGGCGAGAGGTGGGGCTCAAAGGATTGTCTTTTTATGTTTTTTTTGTTTTTTTTTTTTTTTTGAGACAGTTTCACTCTGTTGCCCAGGATGGAGTGCAGTGGCGTGATCTCAGCTCATTGCAGCCTCCACCTCCCAGGTTCAAATGATTCTCCCGCCTCAGCCTCCAGAGTAGCTGGGATTACAGGCGCATGCCACCATGCCTGACTAACTTTTGTATTTTCAGTAGAGACAGGGTTTCACCATGTTGGCCAGGCTAGTTTGAACTCCTGGCCTCAAGTGATTTGCCCACCTTGGCCTCCCTAAGTGCTGGGATTACCACCGTGAGCCACCACGTCCGACCAAAGGGCCACCCTTGAGTCGCCATGAGCACCCAAGATCAAGGCCCCAATACTGACTCAGGGAGAGGGTCAGGGGGCCCTGCTGGGTAGGGTCCTCAGACAAAAAAAGAGAGGTAATTCACCTGCTGCGGGGAAGCCTGGGGGATGTCCAGGGGCAGCGGTCCCTCGGGCTGAGGCTCCCATGCCCCAGCAAAGAGGTTGGCCAGGTAATTCTCTAAATACCTGCAAGAGGGAGGGGAAAGAACCAAGTTTCCAGAATGAACTACAAGGATTCCAGGATCTGAGGGAGGAGAGGGGCGGGGAAAAGGGCCAGGAGAAAAGCCAGGAGCAAAGTGACATGGGGACAGGGATGGGGAGTAAGAAACCGCAGGGGCAGATGAACCCTGGTGGCCAGGTCTCCAGCAGCCTGTTTCCCCTCAGTAGCCTCTGGGGTCTACCCTAACTCCACATAGACCCTCAGAAGCAAGGAAAGCAGGCTCAGCATGCCAGGATTAAGCCTGTGGGTCCAACAGATGTGCGCTCAAGTCCCGGCTCTGTCACTTCCTAGCTGTGCGACTTAGGGCAAGTGACTTCACCCTTCTGAGCTTCTTGCCTCTGTCAATGTAAATATGAACCTCCCTCTCCAGGTTCAAGGATCTGTCCACTTAGGTCATGAGGCGCTTTGCGTAACACTCGATCCATGGGAGTTCTGAACACTATCCTCTCCTGCTTTAAACAGGACCTTCTGGTCTCCTTGCTCATTGGGCCCCAGGGCCCCAACTTTCCTGAAGGACCTGTGCAGGGCCCTGGAGACACAAAGATAGATCCCGCCCAGCCCTGCCCTCAGGGGATGCTCTATCCAGCCAAAGAGAGACGCATGGGCATTGGCAGGAAACAGTCGGAGCTCAGAGCCAGAAGCCTCTGCTTTCACTGTCAAGGACAAGCTGAGACAGCACAGAAGCAGCCAAGGATGGAACCGTGGGAAACCCCGCAAGTAAAGAAAACGCAAGGGAGGCTCAGGCGGGAGGACTGCTCGAGGCCAGGAGTTCAAGGCTGTGGTGAGCTATGATCATACCACTGCACTCCAGCCTGGGTGATAGAGCGAGACCCTGTCTCAAAACAAAACAAAACAAAACAAAAAAGGCAAGATAAGAGATAGCCTTGTGAGAGGCAGCCCAAGAGAGGGGCAAGGAGGAGGAGAAGGGGAGGGACTGACTGGGAATTGAAACCTCATCTCTACTAAAAATACAAAAATTAGCGGGGCATGGTGGACTGCACCTGTAATCCCAGCTACTGGGGGGCTGAGGCAGGAAAATCTCTTGAACCCGGCAGGTGGAGGTTGCAGTGAGCTGAGATCGCACGACTGCGCTCCAACCTGGGGGACAAAGTGAGACTCCGTCTCAAAAAAATAAAGAATGAGGCCATAGAACAAAATCACTACTGCCTGAGCTGACCCTCAGGGGCTTCACACACATCCGGGGTACCTGACTACCTTGTCCACTGGTGATGCCCCGTGCCTGTCCTGGAACCTGGCACATGGCTGCTGCTCGCTAAATGTATAGAAAGGAAGGGCCGAGGACAGGCAAAGGGAAGGGACTGAGGGGAAGGGAGAGAAATAGGAAGAAGAGGAAGAGGAGAAAGGAAAGGAGGAAAAAGAGAACAGGCCAGGCCCGGTGGCTTATGTCTGTAATCCCAACACTTTGGGAGGCCGAGGAGTGTGGGGAAAAGAAAGAGAGATCAGACTGTTACTGTGTCTATATGGAAAGAAGTAGACACAAGAGACTCCGTTTTGTTCTGTATTTGAGATGCTGTTAATCTGTAACCCTACCCCAACCCTATCCTTGCAAGAGACATGTGCTGTGGTGACTCAAGGTTTAACGGATTTGGGGCTATGTAGGGTGTGCTTTGTTAAACTAGTGCCTGAAGGCAGCTTGCTGGTTAAAAGTCATCACCATTCTGGGCCGGGCGCGGTGGCTCAAGCCTGTAATCCCAGCACATTTAGGAGAGCGATGACGGGTGGAATCACCATGGATCAGGGACAGATCGAGACATTCCTGGTGATCACTGTAAACACACGTCTCTACTAAAAATACCAACATGAAAAAAAGCCGGAAAAACGAACGGGTGGCGTGAGCGCCTGGTAAATAAGTCCCAGTAGCTTCAAGGTCGAGCTGAAGGAGCAGGGAATGGCAGTGAATTCACAGAAGGCGAAGCTTGCGTGAACCAGATCAAGGTCACATGCGCCCAGCACTGGGCTCGACAGAAGCAGCATCCGTCTCAAGGAAAAAAAAAAAAAAAAAAGTAACATCACCAATATCTGCTCAATCTAAGATAATACAGGGAGAACCTCATTAGACTGCGGAGTTCGCAGGGTTATACATGCTGAGAAAAACATAAGGTATTGTCCCAGAGAGGTTTCAATCCCATGGACAGATTAATGAAAAATATGGAACCGGGGGTGGGAAGGGAGAAATCCTAATGTCCCAGCTGGAAGCACAACCAGTGATAAGGGTTTGCTGAGGACTCAAGTAAGAGAAAAGGCTCTCGCCAGTGAGATGTAGATAAAAGCATCTGTCTCCTGCCCATCCCTGGGCAATGGAACATCTCAGTGTAAAACCCGATTGTATGTTCTATTTACTGAGAAAGGAGAAAACCGCCTTAAGGCTGAAGGTGTGACATGCTAGCGGAAATGCTGCTCTCTATGCACTAAAAAGGCTTATGGAGATATTTGCATATGCGTATCAAGGCACAGCACTTTTCCTTAAACTTACTCATGTCACAGAGATCTTTATTCACATGTCTTTCTGCTGATCTTCTCCCTACTATGATCCTATTATCCTGCCACTTCCCCTTTTCCAAGATGGTAAAGATAACGATCAATAAATACTGAGGGAACTCAGAGACCAGTGCGGGTGTGGGTCCTCTGTATGCTGAGCGCCAGTCCCCTGGGCCCACTTTTTCTTTCTCTATACTTTGTCTCTGTGTCTCATTTCTTTTCTATCCATGACCTTTGATCACTTTGTGGCCTTGGGAGGAGACAGCTGTGGGGAAGAGCATTCCAGGTAGAAGAACAGCATGCTGCAAAGTCCGGGGCAGGAATGAATTGGGTGGGTGGGATATAAGCAAGGTGCCTCATGTGAGGCAGCAGAGGGGAGAGGCTCAGGACAGCCCTCCCTCCCTCCTCTCCATCATCATCTCTTCTCTCCCCTCTCTTCCTTCTCGTCTTCCACTTTCCTCGCCGTTCCCTCATCCTTCTTCGTTTTCCCTCTTCCTTAAGGATATCCTTGAACCTCAGAATGGTAGGTTTCATTCTTACATTTACTAGAGGACGGAAGCTCAGAAAGGTGAATCCACTTGCCCAAGTCACACAGCTAAGAAGTAGCAAAGCCCCAGGCCGGGAGGCGGTGGCTCACACCCTGTGAAATCCTCCAGCACTTCTGGGAGGGCCCGAGGTGGGTGGATTCACGAGGTCAGGAGAATCGAGGGACTGAACGACATCCTGGCTACATACGGTGAAACCCCGTCTCTACTAAAAGGGAAAAAAAAAAAAAACAAAAAAAAAAAGCGGGCATGTGGCGGCGCCGTAGTCCAGTTATCGGGAGACTGAGGCAGGAGAATGGCGTGAACCCGGGAGGTGAAGCTTGCAGTCGAGCAGATCACGCATGGCATCCAGCCTGGCTGAGCTCCGGGTAACAGCGCGAGACTCCTGTCTCAACAAAAAAAAAAAAAAAGAAAGTGGCAGAGCCCAGACTTTAGAGCCTCTCTTTCCTCCTCCCTTTCCTTCCTCACATCTGTGTGTCCTTTCCCCTTTTTTTTTTTTTTTTTCTTTGAGACACGAGTCTTTCGTTCTGTTGTCAGGCGGAGTGGCGGCGCATCTTTTGGCTCACTGCATACTGGTTATGCCACATTTGCTGCCTCAGTCGAGTTCGGGAACGGGCCGCAGCAACCCACGGGCTGCTACATCACTTGTAATTCTTTGTAGACACAGGTTTCATCATGTTGGCCAGGCTGGTCTTGAACCTCTTAACCTCCAAAATGATCCCCCTTCTCTGAAGGGGTGGCCTGCTCCAGACCTGTGGGAGTTTTCATTAGATGGCAACGGAGAACTTCCAGACC